ATCCCACCCACACCCACACCCACCCACACATCCCACCCACACCCACATCCTCATAGGTGAAAAAGAAAGAATTATTATTTGTCTGGATAACGCAACTTGGCACAACAAACTTACAGAAGAATCAATCATTACAAAGCGTTCTTCAACAAAAGGAGAAATTCAAAAATGCTTCAAGATCGAAAAATTAATTTTCCTCAAAAGTTTGTTAAAGCTCAATTGTTACAGCTTGTATGTACAAACTGTCCACCAATAGAATATATGGTAAGTCACGTTTTTAAGCGCTGTTTTGAGTTGTTCGAACCCTGATATTCTTCTTTATTTTGTATAATAGAGTGACCGTATTGCAAAGAAATATGCTGTAGAAATCATTCGTCTTCCAAAACTACACTGTAGTCTTAGTCCCATTGAACTCCCATGGAATAATCTTAAACAGTTTGTTTGTGATCAAAATACAGCATTTCGTCAGAATGATGTAAAACAATTAATTGAGCAATTTATGATGACGATGGATGATAAACTTGCAAGTTCATATTTTCATTATGTTTATAAAGTCGAAGAGATGTATAGAACAGCAGATGAAATTAAGGAAGAAGAAATTGAACCACATATACAATCTGAGAGTGAAGAAATAGATTCTGATGACGATGAGGAAAACGTGGAATAGCATTTCTTTTTATATTTGTACTTTTTTCATAATTCAGTTTGTTTTCTGAGCAAGTAAGGCAAGCTCTGTTGCTCTAAAAGACTGATGAAAAAAAAAGAAAGAGGATAAAATCAAGCAGACTGTAAGAAAAACATATTTTGTTTGTTAAAGGAACTAGAAAATAAGCATTTTCATGTGCTTGTGCTCATTGTCTCAACGTAAAATTACAATTCAATATCAAAATAAACTCTTTCATGTTGATTAGCATAATCAAAAATCTATATTCGGAGTATTTTTTTCGCTTTTCAGCGAAAGTGTCTTACATGAAATTGCTCTCTTAAAAGGTCTCTGGTCTTTCAGGGAAGCGAAATCTAGAAATCGCTTAGATACCAATGTGAAGAGAGCATGTCGGGGTGCGAACCTGACAAAAAAAATCCCCTCGAAAAAATTTGCTAATTTGTCTTTAATTTCGTAGACTACAACTGGTCTGAAAAAGTGCTTCCAAAGACCATTTTCCCACATTGACATATGCTCCCGACTGTCGTCTATTGAACCCTGAAAACCGCAGGTTGCTATGACTTTCCATTCAAAAGTTATAAGCTTTTCTTCCACGCGCCTTCTTTAAAAATTCCGATAGTAGTCATTGTTTAATTTTGAACGATTCTAATCACCACATATTAGACAGAAATCAATATCGATTTGTGCGCTCTATATGAAATGAATGTCATTGAACAACTATGAGTTCTTTTTTGTTTCTTTGTCGTCACTTGTCATCTTATCTTTCAGTGAATGTTTTATTGTTGTTGTGTGTAGTCCTTCTCATAGAGTGCTTAATTGATAAGAATTTGTAAAAAATATGAAAAAAAAGAGATAAACACAAACAGTAACGGAAGATAAGGGTTTGACACGCTGCAAAAGTACGATACGAATCATTCAAAAAAAACAAGCCAACGGTATAAGATACAGAAAACATTCTGATCAACAGCTACACATTATTCAAACTACCAAGGACTTGGTGACTTTAATAATTTAATCCTAGTAAGTAATTTCTTAGGAAGGTTCGACATACAAAAGAAATTATATTGACTGTTATTTACTTAGCGCAAAGAAACTGCGAATATTTTACTTCTTCTTTTCACCCATTCTATTCATTAATTTTCAGTTATTAGAGGCATAAGAAGGCAAAAATAAATATAATGCGCTGGCGACTTTAGTGAGGCTACGTATAAAGAGGACATGAACACAATGGTGAAATTTGAATGTTGGTAAGAGTAACAGTGGAAAAACTTCCAATCACAGCAAAATCCGTTACAGTGAGGTCAGGAAGCTTCGCTTTACTCAGTGATGTAACAAAGTTAGAGGACCAACATTAATCACTCAGATAAATGCGAAACATAAATGGTCAATCATTTCGAGTCACAAGACAACGCGCAAATCTTTTACGAAAAATCTTTGTTTTCGACGACTATGAGTAGAAATCAGATCGAAAAACTTTGCGTTACACGTCATGTTTCGAAGTCAGTATACAATATTTCGCGCCTTCCATCAATTTGGCAGAGTTGCGGCGAAAACTTCAGGTTCACAAAGAAATTCATAGAAATGACAACATAAAGTTTCGGGCAATACTGAAATCTATAAGAGCGAACGCTAAAAACTTCACCGGGTATGGGAATCCTTGAGAATCATGGAAAAAATCTCCTGCTATCACAAACGCTGATGATGGTAACGGCATAGAAGCCGCAACTATTCAGTTATCTATCAGAATGTCAGCGAAAAGCTTTAAGCAATACAGAATATCATAGGAATAACATCAACATATTTAAACTCATAGGGATCCGTAAGATAGCCTGTCAGAACACTTAGTCCACCGATTAATGTGTTTAAGTCAGAGCAAATAGCTTTAGACACTACGAAGTTAGGATGTGGGTGTGGGACGTGAGATATGAGATGTGCGATGTGAGATACGGATTGTGGGGTGTGAGTTAGAAGACGATCCACATCAACAGTCACTCTCCACCCACACTCACCTACAGCCATCTGCACCCCAAAAACAGATAAAAAGGTGATATTCTTGACCAGCTCGGTAAGCTCTGTTGAATGATGTATTATTGAACACAATCTATGTTTTTTGCTTCTCTTTTGCTTTTGGTGCACTTTATCCAGTCATTTATTAGGATGCTAACGAAAAGTTGCAAGCGATACAGAAAATCATAAGAATAATGTCAACAAATTTAAGTTCAAGTAGAAATCCGTAAGACAGTCGATCAGAACACTTAGCCCATCGATAAATGTGTTCAAGTCAGGGCAAACAGCGTGGGACACTGCGAAATCGCTAGCTACAACGAAGTCAAAATGTTGCAGGTTGAATATGGGCGTAAGTGTGCGGTGCTTGGCTAGGGTGTGGGTGGGTGTTCAAGAGTAGAAGATCCGCATCCACATCCTCACACACATCTATACCCACACATCCACGCCCACCTACACCTGCGCCCATGCCCAGCCACACCCAGACCCGCGCCCACCCACATCCACACCCCCACTCACATATTCACGCCCACACTCTGTCATGTAGTCATGGACGTCTATAAAACTCTCATCCAAACGGCGTGTGAGTGAGGGCTGTGACTGTAGATATGAATCTTCTTCTTGTCCCACACTCACACCCACATCCACACCGACATACCAACCTCACGCACATCCACACTCACATCCAAAAGTGCTCAAAGAATAATTTTCCATTCTGTCAATCTGTTTAGTACTTCTTTCAGCATCCTCTCGCGTGAATCGTAGCTACCTCATAGTGAGGTTGGTATGTCGGTGTGGATGTGGGTGTGAGTGTGGGACAAGAAGAAGATTCATATCTACAGTCACAGCCCTCACTCACACGCCGTTTGGATGAGAGTTTTATAGACGTCCATGACTACATGACAGAGTGTGGGCGTGAATATGTGAGTGGGGGTGTGGATGTGGGTGGGCGCGGGTCTGGGTGTGGGTGGGTGTGGGTGTGGGTGGGTGTGGGTGTGGATGTGGATATAACTCTACTCTAACAACACCCATACTCATAGCCGCACCCTTTTATGGAATAAATGATTGTTTTGTGTTACAGGTGCTTCGGCAACGACTGATATTGGCGCAAACAAAAAAAAGGGTGGGTGTGGGTGGGTGTGTATCGTACTAATGGACATAACACCCACACCCACACCCATACCCACACCCACACCCATACCCACACCCACACCCAAACCCACACCCCACCCACACCCACACCCTCACACCCACACCCCACCCACACCCATACACTAACATCCGTCGGCAAAGTCGAGATATAGTAAACCAGAAAGATTTTCGGATAGGTGATGAGTCCTATTCTCTTTCTTATACAAAGAATTAAATATCATCAACTTCGATTGTCATGGCATCAAATATTTACAAGCATATTTCGGAGATTTTTTTATTCTAGCGGAAGATTTCTTCATCTATCGAACTATCGCAACAAATATTCATTCTAATAAATGCTTTCCATGAAGTTTACTTCGAAGTCATTTTTTCAATTTTTTTGATTTATTGTCCTCAATTGTAATGTGAATTTTATTCATATTAGATTTTATTTGCTCAATCTTTTCATCTACGCCTAAGTATAATTTTGAGCATTCTCTACAATGGGCGCGAATCGCTCGAAAAACAAGCAACCATTATTGCCATCACAATCGCCATCATCATCTCCTCGTTCAAGGCGTGAATCCCTTTCAAGTGCTGAATCCCTTTCAAGTGCTGAATCCCTTCCAAGTGCTGAATCCCTTCCAAATGCTGAATCCCTTCCAAATGCTGAATCCCTTTCAAGTGCTGAATCCCTTCCAAATGCTGAATCCCTTCCAAATGCTGAATCCCTTTCAAGTGCTGAATCCCTTTCAAGTGCCAAAGCAGATCGAAGTCAGACCCCCGAATCTGTGCATTCATCCCCACTCGAGACACATACTAGTCCGCTTCCTCTTCTTGAGAACAATACGGAGAATATTCTTGCCGTCTGTCTCTTCGACAATGTTGATGCAATCCAAACTTCCATACTTATGCAATCCAAACTCATACTTAAACATATCTTTAACACAGTAAGAACATTTGACGATATTCCAAGTTGTCTCGCATATATTGACTCTATCGACGATGATTTAGTGTTTTTCATTGTTAGCGAACGATACAGTCAACAGATTCTCCCTCAAATTCATGATTCCACACAAGTCGATTCTATTTACGTATTTAGCCTGCGAAGCGAACTGGATGAGGAATGGACAAAGAGTTATTGGAAGATAAAAGGTATCTTCACTGAATTCCAATCTCTCTGCGATCAACTGAAAACAGATACGAAACAATGTGAACATACTCTAATCGGATTTAGTGTAATTGGAAAGGGAATCTCGTCGAAAACAAGTAACAAACAAGAAGCAAGTTTTATGTACGCTCAACTGTTCCAGCAAATTCTTCGACGAATGAAAGAAAATGATATGAAGGACATGATCGAGTATTGTCGGAAACAGTACGCTGATAATCCCCGTGTTCTTGAAGACATTTTGACAATCGAACAAGATTATTCGAATCACTCACCTATTTGGTGGTACACATTAGATAGCTTTCTCTACAAAATGCTCAATAAAGCTTTACGTAAACAAACAATTGATACACTTTATGCCATGCGTGTATTCATTCGACATCTTCATGAACAACTCGACGAACTCTGTGCTAAATCACGTATTAGCTCTAAAACAACGCTCTATCGAGGACAAGCTATGGCAAATCATGAGTTTGAAGAATTAAAGACAAATCGAGGTCATTTACTGTGTATCAACAATTTTCTCTCGTCGAGTGAGAAGCATGAAGTTGCATTGCTCTTCGCTCAAAAAGCTTGTGATGACCCAAACAAGACTCCAGTGATCTGGGTGATCGAAGTTGACCCAGCAATAAAAAGCAACATCCCATTTGCTAACATTGAACAAGACAGTAACTTTGGTGAAGAAAAGGAATGGCTCTTCTCGACGGGTACGGTCTTTCGAATTGGTTCAACGCTACTGAGCAGCGATGGAATATGGTACATTTACCTTCGGCTAACAAACGACACTGATCCTCAGCTAAATAGTCTCACTCAACACTTGAATTATACCATCCGATCTCGGAATTCATTGATCGAATTGGGTAAATTGATGTGGGAGATGGGCGACTATGAACGGAACGAACAATTCTATATGAAAGCTCTGGAAGTAGAGAGTGATTGGAGACGTCGTTCGGGAATATTGAATCGTCTAGGAATGATATGCTGCAAAAGAAATGAACTCGAAAAAGCCCTTGATTATTATCAGCAAGCACTCAATATCGATCGACAACATATTTCAGAAGATGATTCTTCGCTAAGTCCGATCTATAACAATCTTGGATCACTATATCAAGATCAAGGAATGCTCAAAATGGCTGAGGAATATTTTCAACGTGCTCTCAAGATAGATTCAGCCTCAACGCATCCTAAACAAGAATGGATTGCTACAAGCTACAACAATATTGCAGGCGTGCTTGCTGCTCAAGGCCAATATGCGGGCGCATTGTTGTGGCATCACCGTGCACTTAAAATTCGGGTTCAAATATTTCCATCAACGCATTCCATGATTGCTCTATCCTACAACAATATTGCCATAGTTCTTACGCGCTTGGATCGTTTTACAGAGGCACACAAATATTCTCAGAAAGCGGTTAATATAGCTTCGCAATTACTTCTGACAACACATCCAGACAGAAAACTCTATGAGGAAAATCTCCACTTTATCCGACGATTTATTCCATGATACACGAAATTTGCTCTTCTGTGCACAAGAAAGGCATTGAACTCTTATTCACTTATTTCCGTTTCTACTAACTATGCTTTTTTAAAGATTTTGGTATTTTGTCGTAATATCGTCAGCTGTGATCTTAAAGGAAGCTCCTCCTGAATAAATACAAACGGTTTCGACGGTTGCAACTACACTCTAAAAAAAATCCGTTCTCTAGAAAACCCAAAACCGTTCGAGAACTCATTCGGAAACCCTCAGAGATTTTCGAACGAGTTTCCGGTCTCCTGGAGCGTTTACGAAAACACTTTCTTGGTTTCCTAAGGCTCGGAAACCGATCGGTTTTCGAAAATACCGATTTGAACACTCTAAAAGTATTTTCGGAGGGTGTGGGTGTGGGTGTGGGTGTGGTGGGTGGGTGTGGG